TACAGTGCTTTGGATATTTTCTCAGAGAAAATTGGAGCCCGAAGGAACGAGAGGATAAAATCTCGTCTCGTAAAGCAGATCCTTGTTGCAACGGCTTCTCGTCGCTTTCGTAACATCATCACGTTTCATACTTGGATTTAAAATCCAGTTTATCGGGACCCTCGCTTTTGTTTACGCGACAAGTCGCAGGACACTGTAAGCGTTTTTTTTCCTAATTCTTTTTATATAGACTCGCTCGTTTCTTGAATAATAAAACAACAGCCACTCGACGACTTAATTACATTTGTTAATTCCAATTCTTGACATCTCACGAAGAATGAAAATTTCTTTTTTTTTTTAGTTTTAATATTATTCTTATAGAAAAAAAAATGGTAATAATTTTTATGAGACGTTTTATAAAGTTTTAAATTAAAATAATTTTAATTTGGGAAAACATTCGAAAGAAAAGGAATGAAAAAATTGACCAATTTTGTGATGAAGGGATTTATTAAATCAGTTTTTTTTTTTTTTGTTAAGGACATACCGAACAAAATGGATCTTTAAATCCATTTTTGACTCTTTTTTTCTCTTCATATCTCTTATTATTACAACGCCAGCGCACATCTATTCATTCTATTGCATTTTCATATTTTTCGTAACAACAATTCTCAATTTTTTTTTTTAAATAGTTTCCAATAACGGGTTGACTTTTTCCGCAGCTCTGTAATTAAATTTGAAATTCGTTTTCTGAGCTTGTTTTGTAGTTATACAACTGCTTTGAACTCATAACTGTTTTTCATCGGCCAGCAATAATTCATTGCAATACGTTTTCAATGGAATATCGACTTCAATAACTCAGTAAAGTGTATACATATATATATATATTTTCATAAAATGTACAACAAAGAATTTTGTATTTATATATATTATTATTATTTTTTTTTTTTTTTTGAAAAAGGGGATTCATTAAAAATGTGTTTATATAAAATGAAAAAAAAAAATGTATTGTTTTACTGAGTTATAAAGGATGATATTTCGGTAAAATAATAATTCGACATATTTACAGGGTTTATTAATATAATAATTTCGAAGAATTCTATTTCAATGCGACTATAATTTGTGAGATTATCAATTCTCACGCAGGTACATGCACATACTTTTCTTTCGTTTCGTCGCGCTCATTCGAAATAAAAAATGTCTTTCTCTTTTTTCTTTTAATTTAATTTAAATATTAAGAAAAAAAAAATAAAACGCAAAACTAGCCTACGAAAAAAGTTGATCATCTTATTTCATATGCAAAAAATTTTTATCGCGATATATAATACATAATGTGTAATATAATAATATACATAATATATATATAATATATACATATATATTATATATCAATTAGTATATATAATCTTTAAATCTGTAATGAATATATTTAATATTTATAATTTATTTTATTTATAATATAATCTATAATATGTTGCTTAATATATTCACATAGTATTATATTTATACTCAATGTAAAAATATCGTGCTTGAAACTTGGGGAAAAAAAACAGTTTCCTAGGTTTTTGCAATTTTCATTTCGCACGATATTTTCCATACCAGCAATTTTTTCTACTTCTTATCATCTTTTTTTCATGTCCTTGTGGTCTGTGGAATCGTCACGTATAACTATCATTAAAGATAAGTAATTGAGTGTGTCAAAAACGAAGAATATTCTCTCCAGTTTCGCTCTTTCTTTCTTTCTCTCTCTCTCTGCAGCATCATTACATAAATTGATTAATTTCGCAATTCCTCGTTTAGTTTTTCTTTCTTTTTAACTATAACAATTATTTACTTTTTGGTCTTTCTTCGAATTTTCAATTTTCTTTTATAGATAAATTAAATTATAAATAAATAAGTTATAGTATTGATTGATTTTTATTTTTGTTTAAGAATTTAATTTTGTAAATTTAATTTTGTAATAAATTGAATAAAATTTTGTTTTATTAAAAATAAGAATAAAATGATTAATATTGGATACTATATGAAATTAATTGTAATTGAAGAAAGTTCAAAAAGTAAAAAATTTTATTTTTTATATAAATAAACTATAGAAAAGTTTATAATACAAATTTTTCCACTCGCTAAAATACTTTATTTTCGTTTAAAAATTACATATATCAACTCCTCGATAATTATATCGTATAATAATTTTTTTTTTTTTATTTTCACTTTGATCATTTTACATGATTCTGCTTCATACTCGTAGGATATTTATGTACAAAAGTGCCAGGAGCAGTGTGTATCCTGGTTTAAATGCGACAAAAACAATGAATTCAAGAAACGAAATATTGTATTTCCTTTCCGGTGTAAATAATAAAATATTCATGCGCAAAACTCGTGTGTGTATATAAATAATAGAAATTTCCTCTCGTATATATGGTTCTTTTTTTTGGAAAAATATGAAATTTTCGAAAAAAACAAAAAAAAATGGAAGAAATCGTCATATTTTATTTCTTATCATATAAAGTCGTGGACTCGGTAGCATTTTTTTTTTTTAGTCAGTTTACAAAATGTAACTTTATCTGGTTGACGTTTGACCAACGTTATTATATGAAATAAGTGATTGTGTGTGTGTGTTTTTTTTTCCTCCCCCAACCGGAAGTATGTGTGTATATGTGTGAGAAGTTGTGTTATCTTTTGTTGTTTTCTTGAGTTGGAAAAAGATTTGTCATTTGTTAATACTCTCTGGCGCAACTTTCTATTGAATTCAAGACTGCAGCAGATCCTTCTGACAGGCATGAAGTATAGCGCAAATAGTGAGAACCATAAGGTACTAACGTAACGTTGCTAGACACTGAGAAAAAGGATTTGCCATAGGAAAAGGGGATTTATTGAATTTTCTTCACTGACAGTTTCGATACTTAATGCTTTTCCACAAAGTGCACATGCATGTTGAAATTTTATACACTGAAAAAAAAATTTATTTGATTCAAATACCGGTGTATTTGGTTATTATCAAATAAATATTTACTTGAATCAAATATTTCTTATTTAAATAAAATAAATGTTATTTGCTTCAAATACTGAAATATTTGATTCAAATACTATATATTTGCTTCAAATAAAAAATATTTGATTCAAGTAAATATTTATTTGATAATAACCAAATACACCGGTATTTGAATCAAATAATTTTTTTTTTCAGTGTACCATCTCATTTTCATTTTTTTTTTTTTTACCTTTTTCTCTTCTTTTTTTGTCCCACTTTAAAATTCATTTTTTCACCTAAATCATATAAAATCATAAATATAAATGTCAATTGAAAATATTCCAAAGAGCAGATTTATTGTATATATATATATATATATATATATATATATATATATATATATATATACATTTGAAAAAATATATTGGGAAATTTTGTTTTTATATTTTGTAAAAAAATTCGTAAAATAATTTTATTTTTGATTTTATTTCTAATATAACCGAAACAAATGAATGATTTGTAAAAGAATTTAACGTGTTCTCGTGTGGAATTTACATTTTTCCTTTTATATTTGAAATTGTAACGTTTCCAGTACAGTTTTCTGTAGTGTTATAAAGGTAATAGAAAACGGAATGTACTATATGTTCTTGGAGGTGGAAATTTCGTCTTTTATAAAAATTTCAAACATGACTGTGTGTGGAATATTTCGCACGTAAAAGATTTTGAAGGAGGCAAAGCAATTGTCCTCTTTATTCGCTCTTTGTTTCGTTTCGGGTGGAGGGGGGGGGGGATTGTGCAAGTTCTCGACAGCAATTTCGTTGTCAAGTGACGAATTCCTGACGAAAATAGAATTTCCACAGTGATCTCGTGTGGTTGGGTAGGAAAACCCGAAAAGTACAAAGAGTCCGATTACTTTTTGGATGGACTGGCGAAAAGCGCATGGTTTTTGTGTTCGTCGAGCCGTAAAATTGAAATATCGATCACACCGTTGAAAATTTCAAATCGGATTCAAGCACTCTGCTTACGAAAATGTCAATAACCCGTTGAAATTCGAAAGTAAAGCGCTTGAAATTTTGCTGTTTAAAAGAAAACAAAATTTTTGGTTGAAAAAAAAAAAAACTTGGAAGTTTCTTTTTTTTGTAGAAATAGGAATTTTTAATTTTTACATAAATTTTCCGATTAATGGAAACTTTAGTAAAGTGTTTATTTTAAAAAATTAAAAATTGTCTCTATTATCTGGACAGTCCCAATGGGAAAAATACCATTGGCGTATTAATGGCCCAATAATGGGAGCCAGGGATGCCAATATAATTCCAATAATGGCACCCAATAATGGACCATTATTGGTAAAGTCATGGGCTGTCCACGCCGATGCCAATGATTGGCAACCAATAATTAGCCAATATTAAAAATTTTAATAATAATTTAAAAATTCAATAATTTAAAAAAAAATTTATATTTTTATTATTTTTTAATAGTTATTATTATTATTATTTTATTTTTAATAATTAAATTAAAATAAAAAAATGGTCATCAAAGTATTAGTGAAACTATTTCTTTCAAAAAAGAGTTTGTCTCAAATCCAATTAATAGGAGAGACATCGGGCAGAAAAAAATTTCGACGAGAAAAAAATTTTAGATCATTGCTTATATACCAATCAAGTGGCATCTCAACTGCGAGAAACAGTGATGTTCGCCCTCCCTTTGCGGCGTTGAGTGAACTAAAGTCCAGAGCTGAGCCATCAGCGCAGCGCGGGAACATTTGAAAAATTTGATTTTATTAGATATTTTATTTTATTTTAAATATGACAAATAATTAACTTAATAAATAATTAATGTCATTAATAATTATTAATAACATAATGTCATACTTAATAATTCGTTAATTATTATAAAATAAAATATCTAATAAAATCAAATTTTTTAAATGTTCCCGCGCTGCGCTGATGGCTCAGCTCTGGACTTTAGTTCACTCAACGCCGCAAAGGGAGGGCGAACATCACTGATTCTCGCAGTTGAGATGCCACTTGATTGGTATATAAGCAGTGATCTAAAATTTTTTTCTCGTCGAAATTTTTTTCTGCCCGATGTCTCTTCTATTAATTGGATTTGAGACAAACTCTTTTTTGGAAGAAATAGTTTCACTAATACTTTGATGACCATTTTTTTATTTTAATTTAATTATTAAAAATAAAATAATAATAATAATAACTATTAAAAAATAATAAAAATATAATTTTTTTTTTAAATTATTGATTTTTTAAATTATTATTAAAATTTTTAATATTGGCTAATTATTGGTTGCCAATAATTTGCCAATGATGGTTGCCAATCATTGGCATCGGCGTGGACAGCCCATGACTTTACCAATAATGGTCCATTATTGGGTGCCAATGGTTTTTTCATTGGCTCCCATCATTGGGCCATTAATACGCCAATGGTTACTCGTGGCAGTTTCCCATTGGGGTGAAATGAAAAGAAATGTCACTTAGGGGGAAAAAAAAGAAAAAATGTTGCAAGACAAAAAGTTTATATTTTTAGAGAAAATTGTATTGTTTATAAAACAAAAAGTTCTCTGGGTAAAGTTTAATGAGACCGGCTAAAATAAAAATAATAATGACGAGAATAATGTCAAAGAAACGATCTCTTTGTGTTCATTTTCACCATGATTTTTTTTCGTGACAAAAAAAAAAACCAAAAAGAAAAAAAAAATGAGGAAACTTAACTTCCAGACAGAGACTTTCTACCTAGAAATTAAAAAAGGTAATAATAAAAATAGAGAAAAAGGTGTATTCTACGAAGGCTCTGATGTACTTTATCGCCTGCATGTCAGAAATGAAATTTTTAGTGCTTCAATCTGTACATTGTTACGTAGCTTGATAATTGAACTATAAAACAAGTTGCGAGAGTGGTAAAAAAAAAAAATGCTACAACCAAGTTAAATTCACATAAAAAAAAGGGAGGCGCCTTAAAAAAGCCGATTCTAAGAATGATCTTACTTGTGTTTTTTATATATATATATATATAGGTATATGTATATATTGCCAGCTTGATGTTTAATTACACAGTCATAAAATTTCCGGGAAAACGAATAAGGTAATGAAGAAGTGAAAGAAAAACGTAAATGTTAGCGAGAAAATGTTTCATGACATAAATATATAGGCAGACTGGTATATATGTACGGGTGTATTCGTTATTTAAGTAGTTTGAAGCAAAAGGTCGAGGAAAAATGTCGAGAAAGAAAAACATTTTCAGGAGCAGTTGTTTTTGATTATTATGGTTAAAAACGGTATTTTAAAATGAGTTCTAAGTGAGTGCTTTTGTTTTTACATGATTATTTTTCGTACTTTGTTCCTTGTTATGAAAATATTAAAAAAAAAAAAATGTTTATTTGTTACATTTTTTTAATAATTTTAATCAATGACTGACTTTTTGCTATATGAATTAAAATTGCACTCTCTAAATATGAATCAGTGAAAAAGTTACTGGTCTCAAATCATTCGCTAAATTCTAGCTATTTGAATCAGTGGTTTTCATTGACATTTCACTGGAGAATCAATTACTTTGACTGAAAATCAGTGAAATGTTACTGATTCAAATAGCTAGAATTTATCGACTAATTTGAGACCAGTGACTTTTTCACTAATTCAAATTTAGAGAGGCAATTATTTTACTATACGATATTTTAATGATTAAAATATAATATTAATATTTTATACACATATTGAAATTTTTATTTTACTTTTTGATAATTCGGTTATACACTCTAAATACAATTAAAATTTTAACTTTTTGCAATAAATTAAATAAGTTTGTCTAATAAACAAATAGAAATACATTTTTTTGGGTATTTTAATTCTTAGTGCAAAAAATTATATTAAAATTTTAACTGAATTAGATTTAAAAATTTGCAAATTATTAGGAGATGGTTTTCACTTTTGTGGAATTAAATATCGAAATGTCTGGAGTTGAATGAAAAAAGGATTTGGTATTGACAACCAAACGTTTGGTTGGTATTTAAGCAAACAAAATTTTTTTGTTGAATCAACAAAATTTTGGTTGTCCCAACCAAATTTTAGTTAGGACAACAAAAATCCTTTTTTTTCTAATTTTGATTGTGTCAAACAAAATTTTGATTCAGACAATTAAAATTTTGTTGATTCAACAAAAAAATTTTGGTTGCTTAAATACGAACTAAACGTTTGGTTGTCAATACCAAACCCTTTTTTCAGTGTTGAAGTTTCGAAATAGGAAAATTAAGGATTCAAAGAAAAAAAAAATAATTTCTACTTTTCATTTTCAGCCACTTGACCGTTCTTTTTGAATGACATTACAAAAAAAAAAAAATTATTATTAAAATGTTTAATTGACGTTTAATGAAAATAATAAGGACATTTTCCGAAATATAGTGGTATAATAAATTCGCTCACTTTTCATGTCGCCAGAAGCGATATAGCGCGTATATGTTATTAGTTGGAACTTGAAAGCTCCCAACGAACCTTCATAACAGCGCGGTAGTAATTTGCGAACGTGAACAGTGCAATGCATAAATTGCCCTTATATTTAATAGGTGTGCTTTTTCGACATAAAAAGTTGCTCATTAACCCTAAAAAAAAAAAATTTTTTTTTTTCACTCCTGTTCTCGGTGTGTTTTTTTTATTTCAAAGGATAAATCATTGTTTTGTTCGCCCACGTATATATTCTTCTATTTATATGTGAGAACAATTATTACGATGATTATAACAAAAAATATGGCATTTTGTCCATTTTCCCTCTTCCCACATAGAAGAGAAATCTTGCGTTTCTTTTGGCACTTAATCTACTGGAATTTTTACTGACTTGTTCCATATTATTATATGAGTGTATTTATTTTACGAGGTGTATATTTTTGCTTTTGTTAGATAGTGTCTAGATGAGTTTTTTTTTTTTACATTATTTTTTTTGAGAGGAAAATTTATCGGTGGTGTTGTGTGATATGTGCAGCGACATTAGTCGCAGCGTTAAGTCGCATATTTTTATTCACACCTTGCTACTTCTTATTATTTTCTTTATTACGTTTATGTCTTTTCCCCATCTCGTGGATTTTTTTTTCTTCCTTCAGCTATTTACATAGTTTTTCGATTTTTGCATTACATTTTTCTTTCAATTTTTTTTTTATATACACTTCACTCTATTTCATTTTTCTGTTTATATTTTCTGTTGTTCTTATCTCTTTCTCTCTCTTTCTCTCGTGTTCTAATTTTTTTTGCTTTTATTTCTCTATACTCGAGCGTTTGAATAATTAACAAAATATGCTAATTAGTTGATTACGTCTTTGTAGCAATAAAAATTGATATACATATATATATGAGAAAATTTAAGTATAATTAATTATGTATATGGGAAAAATTGTCTGGAAAATTTACAAATTGTTTCAAAAAATTCAAATAGAAAAGATAAAATAAATTTTCTTGAATTTTCAGTTTATGAAAGCAATTAAAATTATTAAAGAGAAAAAATTGTTTATAATTAAGGTTTTTTTTTAAAAAATGATGACTAGGTGTGTTTTGTTTCGTTCTCTATTTTTTATTTTAATTTATTAAAATTAAAACAAATTAGAAGAAAATCATTTCTTATTTGTTAACAGAAAAAAAAAATTATCAAAATTAATGAGAAATATAATAGAAATTCTGTAACCCTTCTGAAATTAACCCTTATTATCTTTGGAGGGGAAAATGTTATTTCCGAAGCAATTAGAGGGTCGATTTTACGGAGATTTCCTCTTGAATACAAATATTTTCCTGTAAACAACGTTCTTTTTCTTTTTAAGAAAAAAAAAAAAGTTTTATCTGCTGATACTTTATCAAACAGAATATAATTGCTTGGAAAAAAGAATTTATAATTCGACTCTTCAAATTGAAAATACTGTAATTTTGTCTTATAATTTGTTTAAAAAAAAAAACCCTTTTCAGTTACAGACTTAAAACATTTAATAATATTTGATAATAAATTTTTCTTTTTAAATTTTGTTATAATAATTATTATTGGACAATTAAATTAATTTATTTTGTATAAAATAATATTTTATTATTCCATATAACCAAATAGATTTAAAGAATTTTAAAGAACGGATTTGGAGAGTAATTTCGAATTATAAATTTAAATTATATTCATATTTCTAAGAGAGCCTTCTTTTTATCAACCCTTTTTCTATTTCTCAGTTTTCATTGAGTTGATATTCTTTTTTTCTTTTTTTTTATTCGTTATCATTTTTAACTATATTACTAGTTTTAAAATTAATTCACTTTCCTCTTGTTTTTTAACTGACGTCTATTTCTCATTCCATAAGTTTTAAAATCTCGACTTCTCCCTTGTCTATTTTATTCTTCTATATCTCCGGTCTCAGTGTCAGGAGCAGCCGAGCGAACTGTAAAACGGAATCCGTGAATTCTTTCACAGTTTTCCGGCCAACGTTTTACCGTCTTTCTGCGAACACTTTAACTTACATTCGTGGGACATCGAGTAATGGTTTTGACATGGCTGACTTTCTTATTGATTCATCTGCTCCGCATCTTGACTTGACCACGAGTCGTGTCTGCGACAGGATTTTCAGAAAATAATTTCCACGAGTAGAAAGATGACTTTAGAAATAGAGAATGAGAGAGAAAGAGAGAGAAAGAGAGAGAGAGAGAGAGAAAGATAAAGAAATCACTGGCAAGACATCCATTTAGGTCAAGAAGCAATCCTCCTTGAGAGGTGGAGAATTTTTTTTTTCTTTTAAACTTAAACGCCGATTTTTTTCTAATTTTTTTTTTTCGTTTTAAAAATATACCTTTTTTTTATATTTTCTAAAAGTTTAATTTGTGTTTAACAAATTTAGAAACGGGGGAAAAAGTTGGTATTCAGTTTTTTTTTTTTTTATAACGTAAAGTTGAAAATTATGCGCTGCATTTACATTTCATTTTAGACGAGAAAAAAAAAATTAAACTCCTGATATTGTTTTAATAAATGAAAATTTAAATTCGCTTGGGCGGGAAATTTGATTAAAACTTTTGAATATACTTATCGGTATTTATTAATGTTTTAAATTTTTTTTTTATTTTTTCAATTTGGAAATTATTTAATTTTACAACGATTTTCATTATTATAATAATTAGTAATGTGTGCAAAATTTCGTTATGTTTCGTTGGATTAATAATAATTGTGTTTTTGAAAAATAATATTTCCCCCCCCACCCCTTTTAAAATTGACAGAAAAACGTTGGCCGCATTTTTTAATAAATAGTTTGTCTAACTTTCAAAGGTTTTTTTTTGAATATATTATATACACGATGAGATTGATCGTTGGAAAAATCAGTTTTTTTTCTTGTTTTATTTACAAAAATTGGATAGCAATAATAACTCTATTAACAATTTTTCAAGAAAAAAAATACATAACGTTTGGAGATAATTGATAAAACATTTGTTTTTTAACACATTATATTTTTTGGCGCTTGATGAGAATTATTGCCATCCAAATATACCTATATAATAACAATAATAATAATAATAATAATTCTAAGCGGTTATAATTGGTGACAAAAACTTACCGAAAAAGACACACTTTGATATGGAATCAATTCATCACTTTCTCTCCCAAAACATTATTTCATTATTATTATATATATATATATAAATTATATAAATAGTAAATATATATAAAAACAACTTTTTTGCAATAAAATAAAAAAATTGGATATAAAAAACATTTTCTAATTTTTCGTTGACTGTATGTTTCAGTAGAAAAATTGATAAATATTATTACAGCGTTGTTTGTAATTATTTTCTCTTAATTTGAAATTTCGTTGATTCATTTTAAGAGATTTAGATAAAAAAGAAATCAATTATTTCTCAGGGAAAAATGTTTCAAATAAATAAATTAAATTAATATTGAAATTGAGAATAATGATTATACTTTTTAATCTCATCTCATCATGTAAAACGCTTATGGTATCATTTATTCACATTCATTCAACATCGAATTTCATTTACAAATTTATAACTCTTAATTTTTAAAGGTTTTTTTTTTCTTCTTTCTTTTCTTTTAACTTTTGTATTTATATATAATATTTTTATTTATATATATATATACGAAGGATCGGACGACTGACACTGAACCGACGTGAAACGAGTATATTAAATAATACTGACATCACGTTGTCTAGAAAAAAAATCGACTGATTGTATTGCCCTCTTGTACAGGTCACGTTGAAAATAATGCCAAGAAAATTGGTAAGATAACGGGTAAAATTTCACCGCGAATTGAATAGGAACCTCCTCTAAGATCACTGGCACGCAGCCTTTGATTATCCAATTGATAAATTGTAACTCGTTTCTCTGTCTCGTAATTTTTTGAACCCACTTTTGCTATACATCGAATTTTGACTTCACTACGACCACGATCATGATGCTTTGCATCAGCTTGTATTCGCAATCCAATTCTGTTGGGAACAATGGCAACACCGTAGGGGTTGATTGGTTGCATTGGCGGATGATTCACTGTATTTTTACTCGAGACCTGAAAGCAAAAGAAAGTTTTCGTTATTATTTGATGAATTTTTTTTTTTTAATATTTTTTTCAAGGAAATTTCTTTTTTGTGAAACATTTTTCCAAAAAATAATTGAGGTATATCGTTGTTTATTTTTTTTTTTGCTTTTTAATTAGTCACGTATTCACAAAAGGTGTGTTGATGCATTTGGTTTATTGCTTTAAAATTCTTGTTTGGTAAAATTTTTAGATTTTTATTTTAATAAAAAATTTAGCATCGGAATAAAGGCCTAAATCTTGTGTCTGATTATATTTTGTACTACTAGAAGTTTTTGAATTCGTAAATATGTTTTTTCTTAATGTTTTAGTTTATATATATATACTTTTTGAAAATTCGTTTTTTATTACTAAAAAGTCTACTTCTGACTGTCTAACATTGATATGTACTACTGAAATTTTTATGTCTGACATACCCAAGTCTTGTTTTTATTTCTCAAAAAAAAGTCTGCCTACATTACTGGTTAGTACTACTGAAAATTTCATGTCTACTTTTTACTACTTAAAACCATATATCTCTCTTTATGTGATACATCTTCTCTTCTACTTTCCTAATCAGACGTTTTTTTTCTCTTTACTTTTGCCGTACCTTTTTCTTTTAATAACATTAAAAATTGAATTTTTTGGAAAAAAATATTTTAACTAAATTATTATTTGAAGTAAATAAATTGTATTTGATTCAAACTGAATTGATTCATTTTTTAACTCAAATCGATTTTTTGAATCAAATTTTATGCGAGACTAAATTCTCAGAATTGGTAAATTTTGTTAATTAAAAATCATTGTTTAATATACGTCAAGACGATGATGATCTCTTTAATATTTTAAATTTTAACAAGCTAAAATTGACGTATCTTCGATAATTATTTTTTTGTCGATAAATAACTGTCAAAACTCTCGTTAAATTAAATTTAAATATATATATATATATATATATATATATATATATATATATATATATATACCATTGAATGAGACAACAATTTAGCAAAAAGTAATTGAGAGAGATATTATTTTTATTTATGAAGCATGAAAGGAGCTTTTGTGAGAAATGTCGTATTTTGACTTCAACATTAGATTCAAACTTGGCATCGCGCCTTAAATGTCTCCAAGTGTGAGAGCTAAGATTAAGTGGTTACTTGCATAATACATTGCTTCCGCTCACAAATATTTTTCATTTGATTAAGTAACCATTGGTGTAGGTTAAATTTATTCACAAAGGAATTGACATTTTAGAAATACACATCAATATTATTTTTTTTAAAAGACAATATATACCGACAGAGGGTAAATATTATTATTTTTTTTTTTTTTTGAAAATATTTTTAATGAAATTTATCATTAAATTTTAGTAGAACAAAAATAATACACTGAATTTAAGAATAATTGCTTTGAATTTTTTGTTTCTTAGATTCAGTAATAGAAGACAGTTAAAGTCAGAAAAACTAAAATTCTTGGAATTAATAGTAGTAAAACTAGTTTTAAGTCAGACAGAAAATTTCAGAGGTTTTGTAAGTAGTAAGAGTCAGTTTCAGTCAGACAAGACTTTTCTTGTTACAATTTCGGCATTAGTGGTACAAGTCTGTTTCGGTCAGACGAGATTTTTTTTTAATTGTCAGACAAAACTGAAATTCTTGGAAAACTACTTTTAAGTCAGACAGAAAATTTCAGAGTTTTTGTAAGTAGTAAGAGTCAGTTTCAGTCAGACAAGACTTTTTTTGTTACAATTTCGGCATTAGTGGTAAAAGTCTGTTACGGTCAGGCAAGATTTTTCCTCAATTGTCAGACAAAATTCAAATTCTTGGAATGACTAGTAGTAAAACTAAATTTCAGTCAGACAGAAAATTTCAGAGGTTTTTTAATCAATAGCAGTAGTAAAAGTCAGTTTTAGTCAGATCAGACTTTTTCTTATTAAATTTTTGGCATTAGTAGTAAAATTTAGTTGCAGTCAGACGTAAGATTTTTTCTTCTATTTTCTCCTTCCTCTTGTATGTGAGAAATTGTTAATAAATAAAAAATTTCTTACAAAAATATATAAAGAATTTTTTTTTTATTAACAATATATGCGTCAATGAAAACAGTTTGGAAAACATTTTGAATTTAGTTGTGCAAAAAGGGATTAAAGGACAGATTGGCTAATATCAGTGGTAACAACCATCCTCGCGGAATGGTTTTAACTTCTAGTTGGAGACTTCAACCACAAAGCGATAAACGTAGTTTAGTTTAAACTAGGCATCTATACGTGGAATCGTATGGCAGCTACATTCACTAGAACGCTTTATGGTTTGCGGTTAACACACAGCTTAAAAGGTATGTGATCGGAGTAACCACAAGAGTGGTCCATTCCAATATTCAACTTCACTATTTGTGAATTGCCATCATTTCCTCCTAACCTCTATCCAACTATTATATCGACTTAACATGACCTTATTTGCATATTTAATTAGGCTTTTCTTGTTTATCATTTTAAACTTTCTTATTTTATCAAAAAGAATTATTCTCCTCTAAATAAATATTTGCTTTTTTTTTTTTACAAATATTGTTGGTTAAAATTTCTCTCTGTCACGTACGGTTCGATTATTAATTTAGTGGTTTTTTTTTCTTTTGAAAGTAGGTATATATGTATATATAGTCTTTTAAAATATAGAGTATAAAGTTATATATTGTATTATTTGTCATTATATAAAGAGAACACGAGATACGATACTTCGGATGTTATAGAGGTGTAAACTTCTAAAAATAGTTAAGAGAAAGGAAGAGAAAAAAAAACGAAAAGCAAGCAATTGGTAAGTGCGAACGTGCAACTTGTATCGCCTTCCATTTCCCTGGAGTACAGTAAACTTTCGGTCCGTCCTCCATGTCGTCCCTTGCCACTGGCTGTCTTCCTTTTATTCTGTCTTTTCCCCTTTTTCTTTTTACCCTATACTCTCTCGTTGCAACGTCGAACAGTCAAATCTCCAGAGATCCACACCAAGTCATTGTAATTTCAAAAAGCAAACCAAGTATTTATCCAGAAATATGAATTTTTTTTGCCCTTGTCCTTAAATCTTATTTCCATCAATAATAAATAAATTCTGTATTTGACAAAAAAAAAAAAAAAAAAAAAAAACATTTTGAAATATAATATATTATATTTCAAATGTAATAACATTTTTGTAAAAAAAAATTTTAAATCAAACCTCAAAAGGGGAAATTTGATATTTATTTTTTAAATATTTGATTTATAATTATTAAACATATTGATGTGTGAATTTTGTGGATGTGTGGTATTTTTTTCCTTTGATTATATAAATATATTTACGTTCATCTGTCAAAGGGTATATATTTGTATACAATTTTCTCGTAAATAATTGTAAAATTAAAGGTCGTTGTGTGTGTATATATAATTTGAATATTTGGTATTAGTATTTTGACTCATTGCCTGCATGCGGTGTTGATTACTGTTAAGCGATAATTATGATTTCGAAAATCGATTTTACCTGTAGATTAATTTGGTCCATCAATCGTGCACGGCTCGTTTATTCGCCTGGTGCATTTGTACGGCAATGCAAACAGGGGTCTTTCTACCTCTAGTGAGTGTGCATACTCGTCTATGTTTGATGAGTAGCTCACTGCGATATGACAAGCTGCATAATTCATTGCCATATGCTATTTACGCGATTGGTCCCAAGTTGGAATGCATGAATTGTGATTCACGGCTCAAAGGGCTTTTGTCCCACAGTGTATATGTCCCTTGTGACATTTTCATAACGAACTTATTTACATTTCACTGATATAGATATAATATCAAAAGAAAAACATTCACAATTCTTGTTAATTTTTTTTTTTTTTCCAATAAGTTGGGATGTTGCAATTTTGTTGGAGGAAAAAAAGATTTTGAAAATAAAAAAATTTTTTTTTTACTAAAGTTTTATTAGTAAAAAGTATAATTAAAAATTAATGAAAGTTCCATTTTAAATTAGTAGTTCAATTTCCAATAATTTAGATTTAGAGAGTTTTTATCAAAAAATTGACTATTGGCGCAATACTGGCGAACGCTTCAATAGTGAATTCTGGCAATTTTTGGTTGGAATATAAATGTAGGGTAAATTATTATCCAATGTAATTGTATTTCTGAACAATAATATATTTATTAATTAATGTTATGTATTAATTACAAATGTCAAAATGATATATTTTATAATTAGAAATTTAATTGTCATAATTTTGTGTTGATTTTAATTACATTGTATAATTGGAAAAGTAAATTCATTTTAACATAAATAATTTAAATGAAAAATCCTTATAAATTTAATATTTAATATTCACTTGACGTATTTTGTAATGGAAAATTATTGTCACAATAGAAAATGATGTAAATTGTACTTTGATAAACGATCTATTTTCATGACAATGATGTTTAGTCAACAGGTATTACTTTGTCTAAACTTGAACAATGGATATTTGTGAAATTCAAACAAGTAGTGTTTAAATTGTCGAATATAATGAAAAGAGACAGAGAGAGAGAGATAGATATATATGTATATATATATATAGGGTTTAATGACAATTCAGTTATTCACCCCTCTTCCACCCCCCACCCTTTAGAACGAGACTGTGGGATCCGCCTCTGATGACAGTACAATGAACGGATGCTGATGAGTAGCGAACAATGATCATCCGACATCTGTCTGTACAAGATAATTCATTGGTCGATATCATGAAATATCTCATCTTGTAATGTTTAACCTAATAACACTTGTAACATTTGCTTGTTACATGTACCATTATATCAATAAATTTTGTTTTGAAGATTTCGAATATTATCTTATAAATTATATTTTATTTTGAAAACTGTTTAAAAATGATTTAAATTTTGAGAGTAAAAAGTAAATAAAATATTTTTCGAGAAATTCGATAATTAATGATTAAAATATGTAATATTTGACGAGTACAAGGAGCGTATATGTTTCAAGATTTTATATATATATATA